AGGTACCATAACAAGAATGTTTGTTAGTGATGTTCCATAGTTCTCCTTACATTTTTCATCGATTTCAGAAAATATTTGGCTRMMYGCYTCTTTTAGATCTCTCTTTGTCAACTTAATGTTTGGTTTCGATTTAAATATGTTGTTAATATCTTTCAATGGTCCAGTAGATTTTGAATCAGGAAATGTACTCTGATACTTGTTGTAAATAWGTTGACATGCTTTACAGTCTGTGATAGTATGCTTCATCTTCCCTTCCTTTGTAATTGTCTTCTCTTTTATCCAATTTGTCGGCAAGAATTTGTTAATGTAAGGTTATTTTATTGCTTAAAAACAAAAATTGGCTACAAAAAAGTACAACTACTTCTTTGTAATGAAACAACTGTRAMAAATCCGGGCTGTAAATCATGTTTAGGTCTCAAAACTTCATATTTCATAAAGATAATGATCATAGATTTAGAATTTGTCGCAAAACCCGGTCAAATTGGCATAAATTCAAAGAAAACGGCTTGTTTCTTCCCCTTACCGATCTCTGTTTGTTTGTCCGCCATCTTGAGCCTTCGAGAATTCGCATTTTGATTGGTTAATAACGATTGATAAATACAGTCCTTTGGGGGAGGGGGTTATCTTGAGGTATGTATGAGCTAGTTCCAGGCTCCCCGGAGTGAAAGAACAACATGGCGTGACCTTCAATTTAGAGGACTACCGATGCAAAACGAGGGTTTTTTTTTTCTTTTTTTCTTGAAAATCTTCCTTGTTATCTTTTTCTTTGACCTCCATATCACTTTCAAATGTAATCTATATACAGATTACCTACAACGTAAAGCTGTAAACTAAAAGCGCGAGAAATTGAGAGTAATGTTGTTTTTTCGCTGCCAGGGAGCGACCTGTGACTTTACCGGCAAAATAGAGCATAGATTTTTCTAGGCTTTCAGCCAATTTTCAGCCAATAAGAGCGCGCGTACTATCTAAGTTATATTATAAAAGATTTTAGAGCATATTTTCATATTATTATTCATTTTGAATGAGCTATAGTTGCAAATAAATTACCTTCTTATGAGTAAAACCATTTCAGATTATTGACCTGCACAAGGTTGAATTACTGACTACTTTGCCTGTCAGCTGGGCAAAACCCTTTTGATACTCATCCAGCAAATGGCAGTTCAGGCTTTGCTAGAACCATGAACTTGAGGGTGTTGTTTTCTGCATCTTGAAAAGATATTCTTATGTTGAACTAAAATACACATTTTTTCTTTTCTTTTGTTATGTAAACAATTTAAGTTAACAATAAAAAAATTATCAAGCAAGCGAAAAATAATTGCAACATTGTTGTTTAAATTAAAGGTTGAAACGAAGTAACTTAATATGTTTAAATGTAACCTTCTTTCGAAGAAGTAAATATATYCTTATTYRTATTACTGTAAAAACCCTGATTGATTGAATACAAGTTTACAATGACACTTACATGTGAGAAGTCGAGGCCTTCCACGTCGTGTATGTACAGCAACATTTCCTGTATGTTTGTAAAGTTGTCGAATTTTACAAACAAAAGTTTTCCCTACAAATAACGCTCTACAAGTTTCCTTAATGCTTGAACCGTAAATRTTATTAAGTTCATGGTAAATACACCTCGACCGAATATCGTCCGATAACCTCTTCACTTTAATCAAGAAACTAGTAAAATCAACAAAGAACAGCCAACGAACACTAAAAGCGATTTAAAGGGCGCGCGCTTGTCAGTTTTTGTCACACTATTTATTTTTCAACTGTTTCGTTGTAATTGTGAGCTGAGAAAGTTAAGTAAACCGAAACTAGTTTTTGCAATAAGTTCGTTTTGTAGTGCGATCACAAACCGTAGGAATTTAGCCCACAGACATACATTAACCATGGTTTTTATACTTGGATAATTTTACCCGCTTCAAGCTGTGCCAGGTTACCAAGCGGTCGAGTGAAAGTTTAGCGTCCGAAGAAAAATTCGAGAGTTCGCACTCATTTGAAATCGGGTGTAATTGATTGATATACCTCAGACGGTAGCTTGGCAGCTGCAGCACGACACCAAGTCGACTACTTTATGGATGAGGGCATCTTTAATTTCTCTATGCTTAAAAGGAATCTCGAAATGTTTGCATATTTCCCTCAGCATTTTTACTGTGAAGGATGCAAGCCTTTTTTCATTTGTTATTTGGCATAAGTCGTAAACATCATATATTATTGGATGTGTGGCATCAACATCTTCAAGAATGGCTTCGTAAGTAGCTCTTTTTTGTTCTTCGTCTTCAACGTACGCGTACTCCTCATCGCCGTAATCCTCTAGATCACATTCATCATCATCATCATCTTTATCTGTTTGACGAGCAACAGCATCTAGACATTCGCCTTTCTTTACTTTTGCGGCCGTTCTCGAGAGAAAGCTCTTTATTTGAGTTTTGCTGAGCCATTGTTCTCTTTGAAACATCCGACCTCCATCAGCAGTACATGCTTTCCTCATGTCCTGAGCTACTTGGGCAAGGTCTTCTTTACGCCCTGTCTTTTGTCCTATTTGAAATTTCTTCAGTAGATAATTGCGGACAATGTCAGGAAAACGAGTCTTGGCTCGGCTCTTGTGAAGTGCCTATCCCATATTATTGTACTTGGCACTTCCTCCTTGTATTGATTATTTTCCTTTTTCCGTTGCTTTACATTCCTCGATTTGAATTTGAACAAAGGAACGTCGACTTTTAGGAGTGTGGCTTGTTGAGGTTCCATTACTTCAGCATTCCATGGGATAAGTTTTCCCGAGCCTACATTGTAAGCTTTCCAAAGACGAAGCCCTGCAGATGTAAATTCAAAACTGTGAAACGAAGAATAACCTGGGATGTTTTTTATTTGTAAGGATAGGTTCTGTTCTTGAATGACGCAAACGGATGCCGTAGTATCTTCCACTGGCCTTTCCTTTAATGCAGTATGCATATCTTCAGCGCTAACAATGTCATGGCCCTNATTACAATATCGCCTGATTGCAGATTTCATTGGACACAATATTCTGTCACAAACGTCCTTTCCAAAATGAGGCTCTGAGTGGTCGTATCTGACAATTGTGATGTTATGCCTCTTTCCTAGGTGTTGAAGAGATGCCATCAACTTGCTATTATGATAGCATCCTGCTTCATCTGATCTGAAATAAGCTCTGTTTATAGCAGGGTGACTTGCTTTGATGTTTGATAGCAGATTGTCCAAGATGGAAAGAACAGCGTACCAATCTTGTATGCAATGTTTTTTGAAATTGGCCATTCCAGGTCTTTAGTGTTTTTGCATTTTTGTTTTGTAGAAGTCTCTGCAGATCTAGCCACAGCCCCCTTTTCGACACAAAGCACAGCAAACCTAGATTTGTCAATTGCATGGCCGATGTGCATGATGGGAGTCTGGTTCAAACTCAACAGGGAGCAACCGACATTCCTGTTTTCATAGTTTTTTTTTAAGTGCCAAGCCACTCGCATCTACAGGCAAAATATTGCACCGATTGCRTTCTTGGGATGTTAAAACTTGCCAATTTTACCTTGGTAGGTTCTGAAATCTGCCACAGAACGACTAGGGAGGCGACCTTTCTCTAACGTCGGCAATTCAAAGCTAACTTCGTATTGGCGACATTGTCTTCGACAAATCGCTTCCCGCCTCTGATTTCTTCCAGAAGAGTGTCTCTGCCGCCTAGTCGAGCTTTATAATGCAGTCCTAGGGGCTTCTGTAACAGCAAATGACTCGAAAAATCACTTAAAAACGGTTTTTGGGCGAATTTGAGAGCGACTGCTGGCTAATTTAGCGAGCCGTCTCAAATTCACCAGGCGTCGCTGATGCAAACAAACTCATAAGAATGTGAATCTACAATAGTTTGATTGACAACTCCATATATGGGGTACATTTAATTTTTTGAAATATCAGTCTCAAAAACAACCTTAAATCGAAAATAAATCGCGGACGTTAAAGGGTTAAAAAGCTGATCACTATCGTTTGGCGCTATTGTACTGCATATTAGTCTAAAGGAATCTTCAGCTGTACGCAAATATATTTCTCGTTCTGAATTGGTACATTTTCCCCAAGAAACAGCTTGAGAACTTAGGGGTCGCATTTGTGATTGGTTGATTGAATCAGCAATTTGTGCCATGCAGCTGTTAAATATATCCACTGTGTTACTACTACCAGCAGTATCCTCTTGATAGAGTTGCAGCTGTTGCCYGGSTGTCCAAGAGTCGTCAACGCGGCTTTGCGCTTTCTTAACTTGTGGCGTTAAAAAGGAGGAGTCGGAACATAATGCTTCCAGAGACGCTGCTGCCGCTAACTTGGACGGCCTATTTTAGATGATTGGGTACATATGTTATTGTATTGATTTCGTTTATGGAAATGGTTATAGCATCTTATTTACAACACACCTGATGTCGGAAGGTTCAGACAAACTGCCTTGGGACATAACAGTTGACTGGAATGGCACCTGTTAAAATGTCTCGCGCGTCTTCGTTGTCTTCTGTTGAGTAAATGCATTTGGTTAGCCCTAACTGGTGTCACCAGTGGCCCCCGACCAGGGTAACCTTTGTCAGGCAAGCACCTACAGGAAGGTCAAGTAGCTGTCCGGGCCCAATAGGTGTCATAATATAGGTGCATAGGATTCTGCGTCATTCATGCTACCCAGAAAACCTGCCTGAACAAACCTCAGGTGTCCTGAGTTGTCTATAATCAGCTGAGTATTCATGCAATGATAGTGTCGGTACCCACTGTAGAAAGCGCGCTGTGGTTCTGTTATTGGTCTATATATSTCATGAGGTGATGCGTCAATAGACCCAACGGCATTTGGAAATTCTGTCCAATTCCCCCTTGAATTAGCCCACTCGTTAACGTTCGGCCAATGAATTTGATTTTGAAAATACCGCCAAAGTTCTGGTATAATTTTGTAGATGGTGCGCGTTACATGGTGTACATGGTGATGTACATGGTGCGCGATATATGACTCTGATGAATGTGTGCACCACCTTCATATTCCTGGTTGTAATCTAATCCTTAAAAACCGCACAAGTGGTATCCATGGTGGAGTCGTCCTTTACGTCAACAACAACATCAAGGCCCTTGCTGACCTTTATCATCCCAATTTTGAGGTGTCATGGGCTCATCTCAGGCCGTTTCGTCTGCCTCGGGGGTACCCCTGTATTGTGTTCGGAACAGTATATCACACTCTTCACCCGGAAGGCGCTTCTGACGCTGCAATGTTCGAATATTTGACGACATCACTAACAACTATCGAGGGGTTGTACCATGGTTGCGGCATTATTTTGACTGGTGATTTCAATCGATTGAATATCAGACGCTTGTTGGGGCACTTCTAACTAAAGCAGCTTGTCCAGGTTCCCACACGTGGCGAACGCACTCTTGATCTTATCATAACAAATATGCCAAAACTGTACGACAAAAACCTGGTACAGACCTTCCCTCCCTTCGGATTGTCAGATCACAATGTAGTTCTCCTTCAACCTAAGACACGCCCCCTACGTAACTCAAGTCGGCGTGTTATAACTCGCAGAGATACCCGACGGAATAGTCTGTCCTCGACTCTTTGAGCACGTGCGATGAGAAACTACGTTTATTTCTAGATATTGTGAGGACCGGCATGGATGTTATCATGCCATTACAATCTATCAACCTCCATGTTAATGATGCACCCTGGGTAACAGCAAGTTTCAAAGATCTGATCAAGGCTCGCAACAACGCTTACGTTAGTGGTGATAGTGAGAACTACAGCCGTCTGCTTAACGAGATCAATAGGGAGAGGAAGCTGCTGCGGAAGAGATTCTTTAACTCAGAGGTTGACATTCTTAGGAACACCAAACCGAGTCAATGGTGGAGTGAAGTTAAAAAGATCGCTGGTATGACTCCTGCTACGGGTGCTGATGATATTCGACACCAGCTCCATCAGCGAAGGATATTGCGGACCTTATCAATTCCGCCCTGCTTGAGCCTATGCAGGAGTACTGCCCTCTTGAGTCTCTTCCTCCCTTCGATCCAGACTCAGAAGTTGTTAGCCTGAGTGTTCTCGATGTTTCCTCAGTTCTCCTAACTCTAAACCCTCGCAAGGCAGCAGGGCCGGATGGTGTGCCCAACTGGGTCCTCAAGGAATATGCTGATTTTCTCGCTGGTCCAGTGTGTTCAATACTAAAGGCGTACTATAATCAACGAAACGAAACGAAACGGGAATCTGTATTCAACGAAACGAAACGAAACGAAACGGGATTAGCTCTCTAGATATACAATAGTTTTTTGAGAAATCTTTAAAAGTGTAAACACAATAAACATCACGCACACGGCAATAATGCAAACGTGACTCAATCGGGCTAGTAGTTTAAGTTGCCGAACTTGCTTAAAGGTCTATTAAACCGTTCACTCTGATAGTCTTTCCTTTTTTATACTTGCGCTATAAAACAAAGTAAAAATATGAATAGACTGATTCTAATTGTAGTAATTTTAAAAAGTTCAAGAATCAGACAGTTTGCAAAGCCGGCATAGTTGGCGTCGCGCCAGCTTGTGCCAGCGATGTCAACACGGCTACATCTTTGACCTSTGAAAACCATGGCCGCTTCAATCTTCATTTAGGAATACTGCAGCTTGAATACCAATGTTTTCTTTAATCCAGAAGAGACAGAAATTTAGGCTATCCGGCAAATCAGACTCAGATGGTCACGTTGTGGCATCACTGAGCTAGAATGCCGAAGTACCGTATCGGTTTATATCTCGCCAAGGAAAATGCATTGTTTGGCTCGATACACCAACCTTTATGGCCTAATCCAATGTCGTAATATATGCTCTTACACAAATGAATACTTTGGAATAACAAAAGGGCTCGAATCTCAAAGAATTAGCTCCATTTCGGCGATTATAGTTACCCACACGGCTTACTATAATCAACCTTGTTAAAGAAATGGTAGCCACTTGCCAGTGCTCTTCATAAATTATCCTTAAAGCTATTTCAGAAAACGTTGAACTATATCTGTTCAAACGTAGTTTTACTGTTTTCAGGAGTAACTATTCCAGCTTTGTGTAATCAATAATTTCAATGGAAAGCAATAACGCTCAGAATTTTCATTTTGTAACGCAGCTAACGTGGAGTTTGATGGGAACAATGCATTGCGGTCTTATGATCGAATGCGCTCTCCAGTAGTCAAAATTTACTGGTATTCAGTATTTTCAACATTTTCTGAAATAGCTGTATATGCCTATTTTCCTTAGTGTCAGCACCAAAGTCGAAGTGCGGCAGGCGATAGGTCATTCGAAATTCMAAGAATCACTTGTTTCTCCGCCTTATATTCGTTTTGAGATATTYAGTAATTGTTTGTATTCTACAAAATATCGTCACTACCTCTTTTCGCTTTTGAATTTTAAATAATCGCTTACAAAAATCGATACAGSTAAGGACATGAGAAATGTAAACAAGAAACAAAATGACCATTTTAAAAACTGGACAGAAAACTAGAAACAAAAAATTATTTTTGGCTTGTATAGCTTTGCTTTGATGGTGYGGGAACTTTATTGAAATGATCTTACCGATGCTATATTTACGAAGTAAAAGAAAAGGAAGCCGTGTAATATTATGGCCAGGATAAATTGTCAATGCACTACTTTTTTACTGTGTAATTATGCACGATCGATGTTATGATATCATGCATTTGTTTTTGTTAATGTAATGTAATCAGATTGTATTACAGCCAGTCATTTTTTAATCGGGAAATATTTATYACATAAATGTTTCTTAAACGTATTTTGAAATTTAGCAATGGCAGAAAATGTAAATCGTAAGTTTAGGAATTTTTGGAAGAACAGTTTTTACTTACTACTCGGTAACGCTTGAGTTAAGATTGCGTGACAAGGAGATCAAACGRGGTATAGAAAAAAAATTCTAAAGGTCAGGCGTTTTGCGGGCCAAGCCAGATATTTTGTGGAGAGTTGTTATGATAKTTGAGGAACGAAATGAAACATTTTCTTTGTCAAACTTTTCTAGAGCATTTTCGATTTGGAGGCTTTGAAGTTAGCCGTAATTCAAGATAGCTGTCACGTGCCATCACATAAAAACTGAAAATATAATAAACTAAAGCATATATTGTGCTGAAAATTTACTTGTGAGTAGTGTAATAATTTGTTATCTATCTGTCCAAATCTCAGCGCCAAGCGTATTATCAATCGGATGTTATTGTTTGTTGAATATGCATTATTTTTCTTCTGTTTGGGAAGCCGRAAAACGCCRATCTGATCGGGATTTCGACTTTTCTCGATTTCGCCCAAAATAAAAATCGGCCAAACTTTTCAACGTTATTTTCTAAAATAGTTCACCCAAAGGGTCTTTTGGGTAAAGTATGAAGAAATTRAAATTTTCACAACTGTCGGACGATTCTCGATTTTTACAGACAGTCGCTCTTAATAATGCTAGGTCTCTCCCGGACCAAAACAAAATAGCCTCGGCAGGGCGTAATAATGATAGGTCTCTCCCGGACCAAAATAAAATAGCCTCGCCAGGGCCTAATAATGCTAAGTCTCTCCTTGACCAAAGTAAAATAGCCTCACCAGGGCGTAATAATGCTAGGTCTCTCCCGGATCAAAACAAAATAGCCTCGCCAGGGCGTAATAATGCTAGGTCTCTCCCGGACCAAAACAAAATAGGCTCGCCAGGGCCTAATAATGCTAGGTCTCTCCCGGACCAAAACAAAATAGGCTCGCCAGGGCGTAATAATGCTACAATCCCGGACAAAACTAGTTGAGACACTGGCATTTTTTCACTGCAAAATATCCCATTTCTCGTATCTCTGATTTTGATCCTCCCCTCCCCCCACCAAGCAATGTTGTGTGTGACGTGATTCAAGAAGGGTGTGCATGGTTGTTCAGTCCTTTCAACATTGATTAGAGGGGGAAAGGGGGAGAATTGCACAGAAATAGGCAAATAGATCATCGAAATTCAACCTATTTTAAGAAAAGTCTCAACAGTTTTGTCCGGGATTGTAGGTCTCTCCCGGACCAAAACAAAATAGCCTCGCGGAGGTAAAGCTTCTTGTCTCTCCCCGTCTAAATGCGTCTTTAGGAGCCACCGGTCTTTGACGTTGTTCAACAGGAGGTGGTCGGAAGAGCAGAATTGGAACCAGTATGTGTCCGTGGTTTGAATCGGAATGAACCGATCGTGCAGATCACGCTTATTTATACATCGCAAGGCATTGTGGGATATCTATTGTTATGCTAATTTCATGTTTTATTTCCGGTAGTAAAAAT